TAATATTTCAAGTGAGGAAAAATTAATGAAATTCCTTGGAGCGCGTGTGACCAGCCCAGCCCTGCTTGGGGCGGCTGCGTGTTGCTCCGGCACTGGCACCTGGAGCCATTTGGAGGTGCCGCGTTACTGCTATTGCCTGATTTTCACCCAAATCTCCTGCAGGGTCCATGGAGCAGGGCCATTGCTCTGGGCACTGCTCTCCCTAGAGCCGGCCCGTGAACAGCGCTGATTTCCCTAGCAAAGCGCAGGGAATGGCGCTCATTTTTCCAACCAAAGTGTCGGGAACAGCGCTGATTTCCTCAAGCAAAGTGTACGGAACGGCGCTGATTTCCTTGAGCAAAGCACAGGAAATGGCGCTGATTTCCCTCAGCAAAGTGCAGGGAACGGTGCTGATTTCCCTAAGTGCAGGGAAATCGCTGATTTCTCCTAGCGAAGCTCAGGGGACAGCGCTGATTTCTCCTAGCAAAGCACAGGGAATGGTGCTGATTTCTCCTAGCAAAGTGCAGGGAATGGTGTTGATTTCTCCTAGCAAAGCGTGGGGAACGGCGCTGATTTCTCCTAGCAAGCGCAGGGACCGATGCTGATTTCCCTAAGCAAAGAGCAGGGAACAGTGTTGATTTCTCCTAGCAAATCGCAGGGACCGGTGCTGATTTCCCCGAGCAGAGTGCGGCTCTGAGCAGCTGCCGTCTCCCCACAGCTGCTGTTCCAGGAAAGGAACCCGGGCGTCCGCTACCAGTACACGGTGGCCAGGGAGGCGGAGAGCGGCAACGAGCTGGAGCAGCCCGAGTTCCTGTGGCGCTTCGGCTCCTGGACGGCCTGCACGGCCACCTGCGGCACCGGTGAGTGTCCCCGCGCGCGCGCGTCGCCTTGGCCTCGTCACTCGTGGATCTGCCTCTCCTGCCGGGAGACGGGAATGTCACAGGGCTGTTTCAATGCAGGGAACCCTCTCCCAGGCCATGGCCAGCAGGTTGTGGCAAAACCAGTCCAAAACGCTGCTAAGGGAGTGCTGAGAGTGATGCCGTGCTCCGTGTCACCCCTAGGAGCCACGTCAGAGCGGGCTGCTGGCATGAGCCCCCGAAATTCTCCGGGTTTTAGTTTCAGGAGGTTAAAAAAGGAAAAAATGGAACATCTGCTGGGGCCGTAAATAGCGCGTGGCCCTGCGGCGCTCGGGCTCCCAGCCCCGCGCGCTGGGGTCTGGTTACTGCGGCCGCCGCTCGCTCCTCGGCCCTCGGTGACGGGGACAAGGGGGCTCAGCGAGGCCCAGGCGGCAGCGGCGGCTGCTGCCCAGCCTGCCTGGGGATCCGGCGGGACTGGGCCCTTCCAGGAGGTTCTTGGAGAGCGGATTGGAGGCAGCTTTTCCCGGTCTGGTGCCGGACCTGAGAACCCGGCTCCTGCACCAGGGCATTTGTCACATGCGCCCGCGTTTGCCCGTGTCCCCAAGGTCACGGAGCCTCTCGCCCATCGCTGCCCTGGCTGGCACGAGCCGGGCGGCTTCGGGGGGAGGCGCCCGCTTGGGGGCG